GGCTAATATTGTAATTAGAAGATAGTTAAATCTTAGTTTTAATAGATATGTCCCTTTAAAGAAGAGATTTCTCACATCCTGCAGTGAATGTCAAGGTATTAGGAAGACATGATTATGGATGATCTGATGTCAGCACAGTGTTAAAAAGAAAAGATATGAAACCTTATTTTTAGATAAGTATGGAACAGCCTAAATAGAGAGAGGGATGAAGTGAGTGACAGGAACAATCTCACGGATTGCTACTTTGGTATGAAGATTCTAGTATTCAGCTAGCTTGCTAAATAAATGGACTAGAGAAAAGAAAGTCAACAGATTAACTTCAGGAATTAAGCCTGTTAATGGATTTTCATGCAGAAATGAATCCACCCATCATGATAGGGAAAGGCTTTCCCAGCTGCAAGATTATGCGTTAAAATGTTTCTACATAAACTGCAGATGGGATGTAGACTTTTTTTTTTCTTTTTAAATGACTGTTCATTGACCTGAGGCAATGCTGTACTATACCCCTTCATTTTGGGCTAATTTATATTTGTACCAGAACAAGTTGTTAGATTTAATCATGAACTGAATATATTTAAATAGAGATTGTTCATCTTCACAGTCTTCTCTCCTTTTTTCTCTTATTTATAGCAAAATTTCACTGTTCCATCCATAATTTAAGAACGTGCAAGGAGGTAATTAGAATTGGAGGTAAATTATATTCTTTTGTGAAAAGTATAATTATCGGAAGTTAGTTAAAAACACCTCAATTCTCTTTAATTTTCATGCATGGAGCAGTTGTTTTGACAGATGGATGGACTTTATTTTTGTAACCGTGCGGGAAAGACTGTGTAACAGAGTCTAATCAGTGCTACATATTTGTAATGTTTGTTTTTGAATCACTGTGCATTTGGCTCCTATATCATTTTCTGGGAGTAGACATTTTCTTTCTAATTTATTTTTCCAGGCTAATATCTCGATGTGTAATTCCTCTGAAATTACACATTTGATCCGAAAGGACTGGAAATCCTAAAAAAATAAGAGCAAATGGTTTGTCACTGAGGATGATGAATCATTGCTCTTCAGGTGTGGCCCCGGGGTTTACTGGTTTATGACTGCCTTTACTTTTACTTCTCGGCTAAGTTAACAATTTATAATGCTGTGGGTCTGGAGTACGTATCAGTAAAATAAGAGATCAGTATGGTTGCCTGACTCTCGAAAAGCCAAGTTGTTGCTAAACTTGTCTGTGTATATCAACTTAAACTCCAAAAAGGAGCAAGGTTTGAAAATGAATTCATTCTGAACTGATTACATTCCCTTTATTACGTTGTAAATCCGCCAGTGCTGAGCAAAGCAGTGCAGTAGTCTAATGCCAAAAAGTACATTACATTCTGAGTTTTAAGAATCGTCATGGTTCAAGGAAAGGTCAGAAACACGCTTCTCCTGTCTCCCTAGAGCAGAAATGTGTGAAGTGTGTTTCCTTTCTCTGCCACGCTTCCTTCTTTATAATGGAATGTCCAGGCTGCTTCCAACTAAAGTGGATATCCTGTTTTGGAACTCTCCAAAACCTTGGCAGCAAGAAGCTAGGGAA